AGGAGCTAAGTTGAAGGAGCCCCCAATGTCCAAACTGGGGACAATTTGAGCCACGAAATAATAACGATGGCAACACATTGTAACCTATAAAGTAAAATCAGCATCTGTGAGTTTGTACGAGTACAAACAACAGTTGACTAAAGAGCTGAATGGGAACATGGGACAGCCCTTCCTTGTGGCACAATTCATTCCACGTAATGAAGCCTGAGACTAGAGAACGGCTATTTGGAAAACACCACGGTCATAATTTTTGTAGGGAAGACTCGCCAGTGGTCATCAGTAGATGCTAAAATTGGGGTTGAAAAACAAGAATCCTACATGACCCCCAAGTATATCCCCATAAGATCGTGAGATAATTATTACTTATAAAGAGGAAAGTGGGAATTTACAGTGCAGAGAACTAGCAGATAGCTCCTTATTCAGTGATCAAAGTTAACACCCCAGCATTGGGACGAAGCGCCATCGTGTGCCTCCGGAGACAGCGCCTTGTAAGGCCTACAGCAGCCACCCCGTGCCTGTGTGTGTGTGTGTGAGAGACAGAGACAGAGACAGAGAGAGAGAGACAGAGAGACAGAGAGGCAGAGAGGCATGAACGACAAAGGCTGCTGGGGATCCTGAGCTTTGGGTGGCCCTGGGCTAAACTGTGTCCCCCAAAAGATATGTTCAAATCCTAACACGTGGTACCTATGAATGTGACCTTATTTGGAAATAAGGTCTTTGCAGATGTCATCAAATTAAGACGAGGTCATGTTGGGTTTGGGTGACTGGTGTCCCCATAAGAGAAAAGAGAAGGCAATGTGGAGACAGAAATGTGGACACACAGAGAGGAAAGACAGCCATGCGATGACAGAGGCAGAGGCTGGGACGATGGGACCTTATTTATAAATAAGATCACATTCATAGGTACCACGTGTTAAGATTTGAAGATATCTTTTGGGGGACACAGTTTAGCCCAGGGCCACCCAAAGCTCAGGATCCCCAGCAGCCGGGGTGACCAGAAGCCACCAGAGGCAGGAAGGATTCTCCCAGTCAGCCTCGGCCTCGGGAGGGAGCATGGCCGGGCCATACCTGGATTTCAGGCGGCTGGGCTCCAAACGATGAGAGAAGGAGGCTCTGCTGTTTTAAGTCATCCGGTCTGGGTGCTTTGTCACCGTGACCCTAGGACAGGCAGCCTTGAGGGGCAGTAACACGGTCATCGCCCACCCTGCCTGCTCGGCTGCCTTCGAGCGCCCCCCTCAGGCTGTTTACCATTCCCACCAGTCACTCACGCATTTACTTACCAAATACGATCCACTTAAGTGTGACTTAACATCTCACAATCAAGTTCAGACCAACGTCGATCAAAGCCCAGTCCCGTCCTCTGCGGGCTGCTTTCTCACACCCTCTGAATACGCTTGTGGCTGCACCGAAATCACCTGCACCCCTCCCAGAGACTGGGGCGTGCCAGTCAGGGGACAAAAAGGACCTCTGCTCTTGCTTTCCGCCCCCAGAAAAAGGGGTACGAAACCTGCTATTTCTCTATCTCCTCTGGCTCCGCGCACCACACCGCCTCTC